TTTTAAATAGGTTATTCACTCCCAGCCTGCTTCCACATCCTCCCTTGCTGTTGCTCCCTCCACCTGGCTAGACCCTCCCCGCCTGCTTCTGCACCCTCACCCCCTTCTGCACCCCACCTCCTTCCTACATCCTGTACCCCATCCCTATCCCACTCGCTGGCAGACCTGTCCCGCACACTGATCCCCTTGTTTTTGTCCCTACTGCAGAGCCTAAAGGATCCATAAAATCCACCAATTCTAGAACCCCAGAAAAGTAAATCTGGCCTATGGGAAACCCTGATCCTCAGTTCTCCCTGTCCCTTCCCCTCACCTGTGAGGCTGGGTCACCAGCGGAGTGAGGTGTCTCAGTTGGGGCCACACCGGTGAGGTTTGGGGTTTTTTTGGAAGAGATTCTTTGCTTCTCACTTGTGTGGTCCCCAACTGATTTTTCTGTCAGTCAGTGGCCCCCGAACCAAAAAATGTTCCCCACCCCTGCCATAAATAAAGAAAACACTGAAACCTTTTGTGCTGGACATAAATTAATATTTTACTTTATTTAAAATGAAGTTTGATAAATTAACATGAGAAAGTTAAAACACTTGATCTGTTTGATCATTTAAATTCAACCGTTCTCCCCAGCTGCAGTTGGTTCAGAAAATATGGTCACTGTACCCAGCCTGCCCTTTCCCCTCCTCCCCCCAGCACGCAGATCCATAAATAGAAGTGAATAAGTTCAATCTTGACACGCTACTTCTGAAAGGTTGCTGACCCCTGACCTAGTCCAACCCTCTGCTTCAAGCAGGACCACCCCTAATTAAATCATCCCGGCCAGAGCTTTGTCAATCTGGGACTTAAACACCTCTAGGGATACAGATTCTACCCCCTCCCTAGAGAACCCATTCCAGTGCTTCACCTCCCTCCTGGTGAAATAGGTTTTTCTAATATCCAACCTGGACCTCTCCCACCACAACTTGAGATCACTGCTCCTTGTTCTGCCATCTGTCACTACTGAGAACAGCCTCTCTCCATCCTCTTTGGAACCCCCCTTCAGGAAGTTGAAGGCTGCTATCAAATCCCCCCTCGCTCTTCGCTTCTGTAAATCAGCCAAAATCCCTCAGCCTCTCCTCGTAGGTCACGTGCTCCAGCCCCCTAATCATTCTGGTTGCCCTCCGCTGGACCCTCTCCAATGCGTCCACATTACTAGTACTGAACAGAGTGGACTAATCACTTTCTTAGATCTGCTGGCAATGCTCCTCCTAAGGCAGCCCAATATACTGTCAGCCTTCTTGGCTACAAGGGCACCCTGTTGACTCATATCCAGCTTCTCATCCACTGGAATCCCCAGGTCCTTTTCTATAGACCTGCTGCTTAGCCAGGTGGTCCCCAGCCTGTGATAGTGCTTGGGATTCTTCCATTTTCGGTGCAGGATTCTACACTTGTCCTTGTTGAACCTCATCAGATTTCTTTTGGCCCCAATTCTCCAATTCCTCTAGGTCACTCTGCACCCTATCCCTACCCTCCAGCATATCTACCTCTCCCTGCACCTTCCTGTCATTTGAACTTGCTAAGGGTGCAAACAAACCCATCCTCCAGGACACTAATGAAGATGTTGAACAAAACTAGCCCCAGGTCCAACACCTGTTACACTCTGCTGGATATGGGCTGCCAAGAATACAGCGACAATGGTCTGGACAATGGGTTCGTTGGCACCCAATGAGCCTGAGGATTGAACCAGCTTTCTGTCCACCTTACAGTCCATTCATCCAAGCCATGCTTCTTTCATTTGCTGGCAGGAAACTCTCAGCAGAAAATTAGAAGCTAGTTTCTGTGCCTACTATGCTGGGTTTTTCTCCAGCGCAGACTTCTTCGGCATTTGAGGGCAGGCAGGCTGACTACGAAGGGCGCGAAAGAAGAGCTCCTTGAAGTAAAGAACAAAGAAATGAAGCTGAAAAGATGTGGGCCCTATGTCTTGATACGTTTCAAGAAAGAGACAGCTTAGCTAGTGACAGACTCCCATCCCACCTTACCCTCCATGTTTTCCCATCCACTTCCTGCCCCCTGCACCTGTCCCCTTTTCCATTTTTGCCTATATGTGTCTGTCTTTTTTTTATGGTGATCCCCAGCCTAACGTGTTAAGTCTGTGCAACAGTCTGATCCTGCGTTGTCCGGGCATGCCGCTTCGACCAACTGTAAAGTTGCATCTTTGCATCATTTTAGTGGCTATCCTGTGAGGTGTGATATTTGGTACCAGAGCCAAGCTGTCAATCATTTTCCTTTTTGTATGTTCTCATGCTTGTTTCTTTATGAAAAATAAAAATGAAAAATCACACTAAAAAATTCACCCATTGAAAAATTCATACCTGGGCTCAGTGGCCAGCATCACCCAAGCTACAGGGGCTTTAGATCAAGCTATAGAAGCTTGTGCATTAAGCTCCAGAGGTCCCTGGTTCAGTTCTGCCTGTCGGCATTACACAGTGTCACAGCTTTTTACTGCTTGCACGGGAGCCAAGTCAGACGCAAGTTTATGAAGCTCTAGACTGAGTTCAAATTAACTCACCATGCACCTGTATCCAACCCCATTCTCAGCTTACCCTCCTATTGACTTAATGGGGTCGACCTAGGACCACCCAGGATACGTTTACACTGCAGTGAGGAGCTAGCACGTTAAAAGGAGCAGGGTAGGCAGGAAAAGCATGGATGGGGACGTGGGCTCCGGGGGGGGGGGATGTACTTGGGTGGTGAGCCTGATCTGCGGCTCCGGTTTCCAACCGGTTACACGGCTCTTTTTAGCACCCTAGCCGGGCTGAGCTAGTGCAGATCTGTCAACCCAAGCTGGGAAACCCTCTCCCTGCTGCAGGGTGCAAGTGTCCCCCGCTGACACCACCATGCTACTTACAACCCTCCTGATGCACTACTACGGAGCCAGGCCTGCGGCTGTCATTATTTAATCAACAGGCTCCACGCGGCAGGAAGGCAGCCCGCGCTGGCAGCTGATTTTCTAGGATTCGGTGAGGAAGACACAGGCACTTTCACAGCTCCTGTCGCCTGGCCCCTGCTGCATCTGATTAACCCACTTGGCCTGAACTTCACCCAGGCACATCAGAGTGATACGTGAACTAGCAACGCTGCAAAGAGAACTGCCGTGCGGCAGGGGGCCGGCAGGTTACACTGACAAAGAGCTGAACGCAGGGTGATGGGAAAGGCCTTGCGATCTTATTGCTTGGGGGACGTGCGTGTGCGTGGTGGGGAGAAACAGGTTGGGTGAGATGCCTCTGCGGAGCTACATAAGGTGACGGGGGGACCTAGGGCTACAGCGGGTCAGGAGAGCAGTGCATTGGCAAAGCAGGAGCAGAGCAGGACTGGTGTAGCAGGGGTAGGGCAGGTGACAAGGGAGAGGCATTTGTAGAGCTGGTTTGGTGTTCAGAGGGCATTGCAATGACAGGAGGCCGGCAGCTGAGGCAGAAGATGGCTGTACAAGCTGAAATAGCAAGTGTTGCTAATTTCCCTGCCAGTCTAGCTCAAGTCACTGCAGACCCCTCAGCACTGCCACGAATCATCCTGCCTTCCACACATTAAACGGGGAGCAGCTTCCGGCACCCGCCAGCCCATGGCTTCAGGTACGACTCACAAGGCACAAATCTGTCACCCACCAGCCCACGGCGCTGGGCACAGCCCACATGACACAAGTCCATCACCCACCAGCCCGCAGGCGGACACAGCCTACATGACACAAGTCTGTCACCCACCAGCCCCGGCACTGGGCACAGCCCACATGACACAAGTCCGTCACCCACCAGACCACAAGCGGACACAGCCTACATGACACAAGTCCGTCACCCACCAGCCCACGGCTTGGGCACAGCCCACATGACACAAGTCCGTCACCCACCAGACCACAAGCGGACACAGCCTACATGACACAAGTCCGTCACCCACCAGCCCACAGGTGGACACAGTCCACGTGACACAAGTCCGACACCCACCAGCCCACAGGCGGACACAGCCCATGTGACATAAGTCCGTCACTTGCCAACCCACTTACCACAAGTCCGTCACTCACCAGCCCACAGCACCGGGCACAGCTCACGCACCACAAGTCTGTCACCTTCACGTGCCACAAATCTGTCACCCACCAGCCCACGGGCAGGCACCGTTCACATGGCACAAGTCCATTGCACACAAGCCTATGGCTCTGAGCATAGGCCTGGCAGCCTGCATCAGGGGAGGGAATGAACCTGATCAAGCGATGCAGCTACTCCCCCCACAAACACAACATACAAAGAACAGGAACTGAAAAGCGCTTTCAGCCAGCTCTGATGAACGCCCAAAATGAAAGGAGAACACAGCATGACAGCAACTCTCAGAGCCGCTTCCAGCTTCCAGCTCTGAACCAGGCATAGGCCAAGCAGAAAACAACCAGAGGCCCCTGAAACAGGGTTAACACTGCTAATCCCGCTGCACCCGCAGAGCTACAAACACTTTGTGACCGTGGGGGAGCTCCTTGATCCCCACTCTTTAGCCTCACCGCACCCTTGGGTGGTGCACCAGCATCATCCCTGTGTTTCTCCATGGGAGGGGGAGGAGTGATTTCACCAAGATCACTCAGAAACAGAGCGCAGGTGTCCTGTCTCCCAGCCCCACACTCCAGCCACTGCCCCATGCAATCTCCAGCACCAGCCTTATCGAATCCCACCCTGTGCCATGTGATTCTTTACTTCTCTGCCCTGCTCCTGTTACTTCTCCCAATGGCTGAATTAACAGCATCTAAAGGGAGCTATGGGAACTGGGGTTCGGAAAAAGTGGCTCTGTCCATCCCGGCCTGCCGTCTGACCAAGACTCCCTACCCATGACCTGTCTTATCGAGTTTCCCTCCCACAAATGAGGCAAAAATCTTTGCTCCAGCCCCTAAGCGCCAGGCAATGAAGATGAGGAAACACACGCTGCTCAGACGCTTCCTTCCCTGCTTGACCCCCACAGGGCTTTTCATCCGAGAAGAGAAAACAAGTAAATAAATACGGTACCTCCGTTTAGCTGCGAGGTCTGGAGTCTGAAGCCCGGCACTCCATTCCCCCTTGTCTAGCTTCCTCCCCTGTCACTGCGAGCTATGGGCTTGCTGCTTGCTGAAGAACTTCCTCAAATGCTGCTACAGCAACTGGGAACTTACCGGAAAAAAAACACACACGCGACATTAACAATTGTACTCTTATGAGAGTATGTTGCAATGACCTCCATTTAAACACAGGCTGGCGGCTGCCAAAACCCTCCGCTATTAGTTTAAAATAACTCAGATTATCTTAAAGGGGCGGGGAACCCAGCCTCCGGTACAATCACAGCCCCAGGAGTGTGAGAGGGTGGAGAGCGCACACCCACACCTCTCTCCCTGTGGGTGGCATCTGGGCTAATAATCGGCCACTCAACACCACGCTGCTATTGACATAGCTTAGCAGCACCCACAACCCCCCTCCTGAGTCACAGGGCTTATTCCTGCTCCACATGACCCCCTGGCCAGTGACTCTACCTGATTCTCCTTCCACTCTAGCCGGCATTGGGCTGTTTGCTTTCTTTATAAGCGTGCCACATGACTTCCCCCCACCCCCAAAGAAAAAAAAAGAATGGAGAGAAACTGAGATCGGAGAGGGTACATTTATACCCGGCACCTTTTCAGGGAGCTCCAGGGCAGCCTAGGAACGTCCACAATGCGAGAGCAAGAGCAGGCTATTGGACTACATGGACCTTTGGTCTTACCCAGCGTGGCCGTCCTTCCGGTCTGAAACCACAGGCTGGAGGAGTGTTTCCTCGCTAAGTACCCAGAACGGCCCCGCAATGAGAAGAACACTGTGCCCTGGTGACAACACGTCGCCCTTCTCCCCGCCCACGAAGCGCGGAGCCGCTGCTCTTCCCCCCCTTTGACCAATGGGGAAGTTGAGGCACAGTGCAAGGAAGAGACTCGTGTGAGGCCAGTGGTTTTCAAATGACAGGTTGTGAGAACGTCAGGCACTGGGCTTGGTTGTTGCAGGGGGATCAGGTGAGCTGTGGGGGGCCAAGGCAGCTCCCTGCCTGTCCTGGCATCACAGACTGTGCTGCACCCCAGAAGCAGCCCGGCTCCTAGGTGGGAAGGGGAGGAGAGCGCACAGGGCTCCATGCACTGCCCCTGCCCTGAGCACTAGCTCCACACTCCCATTGGCTGGGAACCTGGCTGTTTCTGGGAATAGCGGCCAGGAGAGGCAGGAAGCTGCCTTAGAGCCGCCCCCCCCTCCCCCCGCTGCACCGCTGCCACTCAAGATAAGCCCCTCCTGCCCCAGCCCTGACCACCCCCCAAACTGAAGCCCCAGCCCCACCCTCAAGCTTACACGTTAGTCAAATTAAATTCAGTCATGAGCATCAAACAATTGTCTTCAACTGGGTCATGAGAAAAAATAAAAGTTTGAAAAGGGCTGGCGTGAGGGATTGGGAGCTGCAAGTACCACGCCATGGCCAGGTGATTGGCGCATTCACTGGGTGACTATATATTGGCTTTGCTCCATTGCGGGCGCCACCAGGATGCAGCGTTGTAACCCCACCTTCCTGAAGGGCGTTGGCGTTGCTGATCAAAGCGCTGGTCTGTCATCTCAGCTGGGCCCCACCCTGGCGGTTGTGCCAAGCCAGCCTCGCTGTATCACTGGACGTGTGTCTTTTGCCATACCCCTGACCAAGATGGTAGCCACCAAAGCTGCCCAGTGGGTTGTATGTGAAGGTGGAAGAATCCCGCCATAGAAGACTGGGCTAATGTGCGTCCCTACTAGCCTTCATCTCGGTCTCCGATTGTTAGAGATTGGCTTAAATCCCGAAGCACTTAATAACCCTTAATAAGGGACTTAATAACCCTGCCAGAACAAGATAACAGTGGATACAAATAAAGTGACTCTTAATTGTCCCACCCCTTTGTGAGTCTTGCCACATTCTTGGTCTCTGCGGCAGAGACGGCTGTGTGAAAAGGTACTTCCTTTTGTACTTGTCACCTTTTAATGTCAGCAAATGTCCCCTTGCTCTTATCGATGTCTTTTAATACTGCTTGAAACTACTGTCTGGGTTGAATCATTTCTTCAGGATTTCTGGTGTTCTCAAAGGGGGGAATAATTCAAAAAACACTTTGGCCTTATTCATGCCATGTACTGGCAGCCACTCACAACGAGATCTGAAAATCTGTGTTACTCCTGCATGGGCGTTGGAAATGCATCAGCTGTTCGATTTTTGCCCCCACAATTATGCTTCTTTTAGAAACAAGCAAGATTTTATACAGAAGCAGAGAGAATCGGATGCATTCCAGGACAGACAGAATGTTTGTCTTGTAGATTGGGAGAGCTCTGGCTTTAAAAGCTAACCCCACTTGGTACAAAATATGTCTGAACCCAGCAACGGGAGAGGAATTAATTAGCAGCGCTCAGAGCTGTGGGCAGATTTCCGTGAACCAAGTGCAAACCACTCAATATTTAAATGTTATAATAAAAGCTCCCCACATCAGATCAAAAGCAGCCGACTCCAAATGCATTTAATGAGGCAACACATTTAGTGAGTGTGCAGTTTAGGGTATTATAAGTATCTAGCCAATTAGCCCGTCATAAGACGGGATTTTCAGGTCTCTCCTCCATGTCGGTCTTCTCTCCTGACACGCCGGTCTCTCGCTCCATCTCTCTCTCTCTCTCTCCTCTTCCTACTGCCTTCCCGCACCTCTCTCTCAGCTCTCCTCCCCCTCCTGCCTTTCACTCGGGGGACTGTGGAGCCCAAATGGCCGTTTGGGCTCCGCACTCCCCATGCTGCATGGGGGATGCAGAGGCTCAACGGTCGCTTGCGCCGCTTGCTCCCACGTGCAGGCCCGGATAAGCAGCTCAGAAGTCAGCCGAGCTCCACGGCGGGAGGTGACGAGGGGGTGGGACAGTGACTTTCACAGCTGGGGGCGGGGCCTGGAGCCGCTGTCACGTCGCACATCACCGCCCCTCTCCTTTCCCCTCCCACCGTGGCACTCGGCTGACTTCTGTGCCCCTCAGCTGAGCCGCCGCGGGGGAGCATGCGGCGCAAGCAGCCGTTTGGGCCTCGCACTCCCCATGCAGCACGGGCCGCCCAGAGGGAACAGCCAGCATTTCAGCAACAGCGCCACCCAGAGGGAACAGCCAGCATTTCAGGCAACAGCGCCGCCCAGAGGGAACAGCCAGCATTTCAGCAACAGCCCCGCCCAGAGGGACCAGCCAGCATTTCAGCAACAGCGCCACCCAGAGGGAACAGCCAGCATTTCAGGCAACAGCGCCGCCCAGAGGGAACAGCCAGCATTTCAGCAACAGCCCCGCCCAGAGGGACCAGCCAGCATTTCAGCAACAGCGCCACCCAGAGGGAACAGCCAGCATTTCAGGCAACAGCGCCGCCCAGAGGGAACAGCCAGCATTTCAGCAACAGCCCCGCCCAGAGGGACCAGCCAGCATTTCAGCAACAGCGCCACCCAGAGGGAACAGCCAGCATTTCAGGCAACAGCGCCGCCCAGAGGGAACAGCCAGCATTTCAGCAACAGCCCCGCCCAGAGGGACCAGCCAGCATTTCAGCAACAGCGCCACCCAGAGGGAACAGCCAGCATTTCAGGCAACAGCGCCGCCCAGAGGGAACAGCCAGCATTTCGGCATTACAGACACTCAGACACTGGGCTACTATATATATGATTGGAAGAACACCTCCAGATTTCTGGACCTTCGCCTTCTACAGGTGTGAGACAGCCACCAGTTCCAAGCAACAGCCAGCAGGTGGAATCTCCTGAGAGTTGCTGCTGTACCATACTCGGGGAGCAATGGGGTTACTCTCCCTCCAGCTCTCTTCTGGCCAAGAGGAAGATGGGGCCCTCCCAGGCTAGCAAGCAAGTTGGCTTTCTGGGAGTCAGTTCTCAGAGCAAACAGAATGCTGGGAGCAGACAGCCCAGCAGAATAGCAGGCCAGCCGCTGCTCCAGAGGAAGAAGTAAAAACCCCATAGAAGCCGTTGTGGAACAATCTGCTCTGTGCCTCCCATTATTAGAGATCAGGAAGAAAACTAATTAGAGACTGATTGAAACCCTGAAGCATAAGGTTAATCTTTCTACCAACAGCTTCATTATCATTAATTATGATAATGCTGGATATTCTTGACATCCACATACATGTCCAATTAGCCTTTGAACCTTGCTGAGCTCTCGAGCACAATTGCATCCAGTGGCGGGTAGTTCCACTGGTTGATTGTACATCACATGAAAAAAACCGGTATTTTGTTTGATCAGGTTTTGAGTTTGCCACCTGCTTTAATTTCATTGAAATAGCCCTGTCACAGGGTGGCTGGCCTCAGTAAATGGAGCAGATCCAGAGGGAAAGCCCAGGTGAGGATCAGCCAGGAGAAGCTGCAGACAGCTCTCTACAGGCCCTTTCTGGAAAGAGGGGGGAATTATCAGGAAAGCCAGTCAGGGGTTAGTAAACTGTCCTTCCTGAGCTGAGCTGGGTGGCTGAAAAGGGGGAGAGCTAGAAGCTAGACGAGGGGACTAATCAGCTGAGCCAGAAAGAGCCAAGGCCAGAGAAGGCTGCAGAGGGAAGAAGGCTGGAAGCAGCAGAGGGAGATGCCTGCAGGTCCTCAGAGCTGAAGCCAGAGGACCAGAGAGCAAGGGGCAGCCTGTGGGGACTACACACCAGCTTCAAAGCCATGAAGGCTGCTTGTCTGAGCCTGGGCTGCTTGCCCCAGAGCCCAGCGAGGAAACAAAGAGCGAGGGCTGCTGATACTGCCAGGAAGGGAAGTCCAGGGATCAGAAGAGCAGTTCCCACCGAGCGCAAGTCCCTGCTTCACCTTCTTGGGTTTTACTTCCATTTCTGTAATGACGCCTTCCCCGGAGCAAAGGGGATGCGGTTGCAGCGTGGGGGCCAGCCCAGAGCAGCTTGTAAACTGGTTCAGGAATCTTCTGGCACAGATCCGCAGCTGCCCCCTCTCGGCACCCGGCTGGGTCCCCTTGTGTAGCTGCGCACAGAGGCACAGGGAAGCATCTGGCAGGCAGCAAAGCCGTGATACCTGGCCCTCCCCTCCTTGTCTTCCTCCTGAGGACCTGGCTCCACTCCCCCTCCTAGCAAGCTTCCTGGCCTCTCTCCGCTTCCCCTCCCCGCTCTTCTTTTTTCTGCCACCTGTGGATTGAGGAC